AGGATAGTTCTAGAAAGTAGAGGGCGTGAGAATAGTCACGTGATCTCGATGACGCAACAATACGATAAAAATACTTTTTGAAATAAAACAATTATATGATACATCATACTAAAATAGAGAATTTTCCATTTTTTATTACACGTCCTTACTTTTCATAGTTATTATTTAACTTTTTACTATTTATTTCAAAGTATTTTCCATACTTTCATCTCCGATATAACATTTACTTTATACTTTCCTAACTTGTACGAAATACTTACGCTTTGAATTCTTGTAAATACATTTTATTTCTTTCCATTTCGTATGTAGATTTTATTAGAAAGTTATATTAGTTTCAGTAAGTTATCTATTGATTTGGGAAAAAGATATGAATTTGTGTTGACAATAAATTTTCTATGTGGCTTAAAACACACATAATATTTTAATGTGTTTAACTGGCACATTACAATAATTTTAATAAACGCGAATAAAAAGTTAATAAACTCTAAGATACATTTCATAGAAACTCTATGATAATATTGCGAGATATAATGGCCTAGAAAGTTGAAATATTCTAACTTTAACGAAGAAGTAAGTTTGAATTATCGGAAATATCTTCTAACTGCTTGTGGAATTTACCTTTTATGTCGGGATACTTCTTCTGAGGGATGAAGTTTTTTATAAGACACATTTTTGGAAATTAATTAATTTCCAATTTGTAATTTCTTATATATTATTTTACGTAACATGTAATTTAATTCCGTAACGTATTTTTACGCCAATGATTTCGATTTTATCTTTTTTAAACTACATTTTTCCATTTTTTTGTTTCACAATTTATTTTCTTTCTTGCCACTTATGTATTTGTTGTCATTTAAGTTACGAGGACAAGTGTTTAGCAGATTAAACTATTGCTATTTAATCGATTTAGTCAGAGACATCTGTCGGATGCCAAGAGATCATGGACCTTGTCGTGAATCATTACAGCGGTATCATTACAGTCCCAGCCACCAGAGTTGTGTATCTTTCATATATGGTGGATGTGGAGGAAATGTCAACAATTTCGAAACTCGTGAAGAATGTGAAACTAAATGTGTGGGAGGAAACCCTTACTACTCAACTGAAGATCCATATATTTGTAAGTTCTTGGAAATATAATAACATAAAGTATGATAAGAAAAACGAACAGCAGTCAAATAATCT